ATTACCTGCTAAACATCATCTTGGAATTTTAATTTCAAGCATTTTTAACAAATAAGCTCTGATAAAGCAGCTGCTCTCCCTGCCCAGCACCAAACAGCAGACAGCAACTAGCTGGAGCTGGAACATTTTGCAGGTTCAGAGCCATATTTCCCTCGGGAGTTGGTGGCAACCACTGTCAGTGTTGGCAATGGTGGAGTTAAAAGGAGAGTGAATGCTAATGCTAAAGATGATATATGTCAATATTGTGTTTATTATTGTGCCTTGCAAACAAGCACAATACTACTCTTCCCGTGCTTATTATTCTTCCGTACATTTTTCGCGCTTCTTCTCCCGCAGCTTTGTCGCACATACACAAAAAGGTATCAAAACGTGCGGCCGATGAGGACATTAGTGCTATGACTTTCTAAGAATTTCGCCAAACGGTTTGCCGGAAATCGCCAAAAACCGGTCCAAAAATGAATGGGTGTGATGCGAGAACCTCCAACTGAAAAAAACGCCAGAGTGCGGACATCATCGCTAGAGTGTGGGGAGAGAGAAAAATTTGTCAAAAAATAAATTTGAAACTGCTGTCATGGCCACAAATTTCACTCTACCGAAATAATTTATAGATAGAAACGTAGGTAAATTCGTTGGGGTCGCGTGATACTACTGCTGAAGCTGTCAGACAAATAGTTTTGACGGAAACGCACTGATGCCCAGCAACGCCCTCTCACGGCCCCATCTACTCCCATGTTAATTTTAGAGGAGGAATCTGAAAGACGCTCGTTGAACCTCTTCTCTCTCAATCTCCCCAGGTCACATTTTTTAACTTTAGCCACTGAAACTCGGCAGTGCTATAGTCAATAAGATGACGACGCCCACGGTCTTTTCGGTTTTCATTTCGGTCGTTCCTGGCCATGGGTTCGAGGGGATTCATTTTAAATGTTTCTGTCTCTCTGAGGAGTTAGAGACAGAGAGAGAGCGTGCGCAGCTGCTGTGGGCTCCCCTCATTGCCATGACAACCAAAGCCTGCTCACACACACACACACACACACACACACACAGCTAGTTACAGAGGTTGACAAGACTTTAATAAGCTAGCTGGCTAGCTAAAGATAATTAGAAGGTGGCTAACAAGCAAACAATTTAAAGCTGAATGATTTTAATATTAACACAAAATAAGTTCAATACACCTTAAATATTTTACCCTACTATGAGCTGTTCCTTAATTTACATTAGCACTCCTTCAGGAGCATAATACAATTAAACACATTAACCAAAGCTAGCACTTAGCTTGCGATTAGCGCTTAGCTAGCGATTAGCTCATAGCTAGCGATTAGCGGTTAGCTAGCGATTAGCACGTAGCTAAGCGCTACCTATGGTTTATTTGTTTATGTGTGCTAGCTCTAGCTAGCTAGCTAAAGAGAATGACATGATATTAATATGCTAGCGCTAGCTAAGGAGGATGACAGGTTATCAATATGCTATAGGGAGGATTACATGGCATTAATATTCTAGCGCTAGCTGGCTAGCTAAAGATAATTAGAAGGTGGCTAACAAGCAAACAATTTAAAGCTGAATAATTTAATATTAACACAAAATAAGTTCAATACACCTTAAATATTTTACCCTACTATGAGCTGTTCTTTAATTTACATTAGCTCTCCTTCAGGAGAATAATACAATTAAACACATTAACCAAAGCTAGCGGTTAGCTAGCAATTAGCGGTTAGCACTTAGCTAGCGATTAGCGCAGAGCTAGCGATGAGCGGTTAGCTAGAGATTAGCGCACAGCTAGCGATTAGCGGTTAGCACGTAGACATGGTATTAACATATGGGCCAGAGCAAGGCACAATCAAAATTGCTTTAGGAATTTTCTAGTTATTACTATTGTTCCACTGCCCCTAATGTCCAAAACATCAATTACTGCTGGTTTAAGTTACATTGCATCCAATTGCTGAAATAATAAATAAATAAACCTGATTTCTATAGTGCAATATTTATATGTAATATTTAAAAGAACCTCAAACTAAAAAAATTTATATCTGCACATTTTACGTATATTGAGTTTTTTTGTTTTGAATTTGATAATGCATGCCATATATAATGCCATCAGTCTCCTTTATTCATTTTATTTTAGCAGTCAGATTAAATGTAGTTGTCTTTTGAGAAACAAAATACGTAGCTGAACTATAAGGTAATAGGCTTCTAAAATTAAAACTGTATTACATCAGTAGTAACAGTAAAATGAGCTTCGTGCCGGAGCTAAAATGGAGCCTATAGGAGGAAAGCCAAGTCACCCCTATGTGTCATGGACGGATTTGTCACCACAGCAGGGGTTTGGTGTGACTCACTGGGTTTTGTCACAGAGGTACTGCCATGCTAACAACTTTGGCCAGCCTGACAGTACCCTTGTAGTTGTAGAGAAGGTTAACGTTTGTCAAACGTCACATGGACACTCATAATTGTGCCACTAACTGAGCTGATTCAGCTACTCAGCCGCAGGGAGCAAGGACAGGCTAGGTCTGTCTGCATTTATTATCCACTCTCTCTTAGGAGGGGTGCTGATCTAAAGGCCATGGACCAAGTCTGCTTCACATCTGTCAGCACAACAGTTTTGCTGCACAATGAGATATCCTCCATCTGGTAAAGTGCTACCTTTTTTGACATCATGATTGATACCACAGAGTTTAGCTGACAAGATGATTGCACGGTATGTTCGGACGAGAGCTGGTATATTCTTGTGATCAATGTTAAATTACTGAGCAGTGATGATCTGTGCTGCTTTCTATTTGTACACATTAGAAGCCGTTGGTTTTAAAGTCACATTCAGCTCATGGATTTGTTTTTGGTCAATATCAAAACTGAAAGTATTACTTTCCATTTTTTACAGTGGGTTTCCTTTTCTTATTAACCTTTTGCTTTTCCCAGAGAGGACCCAGTTTTGCTGAACATTCACTTCCTTCAAAATACTCACACTCACAGTTGAGGGTTGCTCAGTCAGCACATCAGTCATTTATTGCTGGTTCGTGGTCATAAGGAGAAATTAGTATCTTAAACACCTTGCTCATTAGGGTTTTGATAGCAATTTTGGAATATAGGGATACATATATTCCAAATCTGGCTATACAGACTGAATATCTGGTTAAAAATGTCATGTTTAGTCCTCAGTTCTGAAAATGCACCCGTCTAAACAGGCTCGATCTCTCTCACGAAGCTGCATCTCTAGTTAGAGACGGAGCAACACTGCCTCTTTGTGGCTGCTCAAAGCACTGCAGTAAGCACGCACAGGAGTAATAGAACAGATGAGATGCTCATTTCAAGTTGGCCAGGCACAATATCACCTCTTTGAGATACCTGGGCATTGAAAAAGTTGATATACCACCTAGATGTGGTGATCACAAGAAGAAACTCTTGCAGTGGGAGATTTATTGGCCTTACTCCATCAACACCTGTCTCCTCACAGTTTAAATCAGCCCTTCTTGTAGGCATGTCCTGTTATTATTATCATCCCCTGTCAGGGCATTGCTGCGGGACAAAAATCTCTTACAATATTGTCACAAAACAAAGGTTAGTTCATAGAAAGATGTTGATACTTTCTCTAGCCAGTGCTGTCTCCCTAAGTCACTATCAGTCCTGACCTTTCAGGCCGTTGCAAATGAGCAATCTTGTCAAGTACTCCCATACAGGCCCAGCTCGTTCTTTTCTGCAGCATTCTCACGGGACAAACAGCTTCTCTCAGAGACAACTTAGTTCCTAGTGTTTCTTACTTTATGACCTATACTTTTCTTGCAATGTTAAACTCCAAACAGATCTTCAATTGTCATATACTTCATGATCCTTTCTGTTACATTTATGGTAAGCACTATATAGTTCACTCGAGTGGAGGTTACATTTACAAGATTCGGAATAATCTTAATAGGAAATAAACATGATTATATATACATATCAAACATTATATGAATTAAACATGATACAAATACATACACAATATAAATATTCAAACATGATTATTTGTGTGATATGAATCATTTCCCTCCCATCCCCTAGGATCTATATGAACCTATGGCATGAAATCTATATATATATATATGATATTCCACTTTCACTTTACTATTATATGAACAGTTTCTGATACTTATGAATATTTAACACACTATATCTTTTTTGATGACTCCTAGTATCTCATTAACCTATAGCACCCATCTTACTTAAATGAGTGTTGTGACATTTTGATTGTATCTTTTGTGACCAATCGATTGGAAGTGTTTGCAAGACAATGCTTGTGAATCATATCAACAACATTTTTACCCATATGAATGTGATTATATGATTATGTCATTGGTCATTTTGCTATATGCAGTAAATGTCTCCTTTCCTCCCATTTGGTATTTCTCTGAGGACCACCTGTAGTCGGTTCAAAGCAAATAAGTTTAAAGGAAAATGTGATTCCAGTGTGAGAATACTTTTTGTATTATAACTTTATTGATTTTTCATCCCACTGAGGTTTTGTGGATGTGAACTTAAATTCCATTCCATTCCATTTTTTTACAGTTAAATGGACTGTACTTGTGTAGCGCCTTTCTAGTCTACCGACCACTCAAAAGCGCCGAACACTACATGCCATATACTGTCAATGATCCAAACCCATTCACACAGTGATGGAAAAGGCCATCATAAACAAAAACTAATATCCATTCATTCACATTCATCCACCGACGCACAGTACTGGGAGGAATTTGGGGTTCAGTATCTTGCTCAAGGACACTTCGACATGCAGCAGGATGAGCCAGGGATCGAACCACCAACCTTCTGATTAGTGAAAGATTTGCCGACATTTGCATGATTTTGAAGCGATTGTAGTCCTTAAAATTGAATTCCATAAATGTGTGTATTTGTGCGAATAACATTATTATGTATTTCTATCATATGTACAATCAGTGAAAAACAAAACAATGCAAAAACTTTAAATAGCCAGAAGCTATTTAAAAGGGTCAAAAATCAGACCAGAGATTCTCACCTTTGCAGTCAATGGCTTTATATGTAGGTAGAATTACAAAAAAAACAATTCCACAAACATAAATATGCATAAACATATCTACTATAGTTAGATTACTTAAACAGAAAATAATATAATATCCAGAACTATCTGTTGTAATTTCACATTACAGGTAGCAGCCAGCAACAACATATCAGAGCAACAAAGGGTGACTTGTGCAGTAATACATTTCAGTGGTCTGGTTAGCATGTCAGTTAGTTGGTTAGCAGAAGGCAAAATGACAGAACCCAGATTCACCTGAGCTTTCTAGCCTCTTAAAGGGGAATTAACCTAAGAGTAGCCAAATACAAATATAATACAAATGTCAGGTTAAACTTTTTGAAAAACATCGTTTTTAAATTCTCGCACATCCTATATTTGTGTGCAGGCGCACTAGAGAAATGATTAAGCCTCGAGCGTCGAGTGATGGCGACTGCTTGGAAGGTAAAATATGTGTAAGGTTTATTTATTGCAGGAGAACACAAGGAAAGTTAATGCTGGTTGAATCACTCTTTAAGATTTCTTGTTTTTCTGTGCTTCTTTCATCCATCACTCCGCTCAGGCTTGTGAGGCTCAATATGGTTCATTTGTGTTTAACACGTCTTAATTAGATAACCCCTAAAACATGTCTATGCATTATCTTAAAATTAGACAGCTACGTGTTCTTTCTGATGGCAGAGTGCATTGTGTAATACACTGAGATTGTAGGCTGTGGGTATTACTGGATCCAGATGTTTAATCTGGAATATTTTCAATTGTTTACATTTCCTACAGTTCCCTGCACAGTTTAATGGATGATTATTAGTGAGTTGACTGTTCCTTACTATCTCTAACCCCATTTAATAGATTTCTGGACCTTCATGCAGTAAACTAACTACCAGATTTTTAATGCGGACGGCACAGGAAGTTACCATCTGTGCTATACGATAACCATGCCAACTCCCAACAGTGTGACTGTAGCCAAGCAGAGGGAAATGAAGGCACAGAGGTGTATTGTATATCAACACTCTCTGGTGGCTGTTAAAGGACTCAAGCAGGTTGTTAATAAGTTGACAGTACAGCATATGGTCAACTCTACATTTAAAAAAAAGAAATCTGTGTTTAGAATTACCCACATGGAAACTAAAACATGTCTACTTCAAAAACTGTATAACAAAATGTATCTATGATCAGCATCTCCCTGTGGAGATGGTAACACAGGCCAAGAGGCACAACTTGCGTCATATAACAGGGCTGTGGTGCAGTTCACGTTTATATCAGAGAATAGAATTAATACCAAAAACCCTACATTGTTAGTTATTCTGTTCAAGAATATCATTTTAAAAAGGACCAGAATTGTCTTGGAAATGATTTTACAGAACTTTTGAATTTTGTTTTCTTGCCCTGTATGACATACACTTTTGTAATCAGCTCTACCGTTAACAAATGTCAACAGCCAGGGTTTTACTTTCATGAACATAACAATAGCTAAATTTACAATGAACTAATCCCAGTCCTGCTATAGCGACATATACTAAACAAGTTTCTGATAACCTGCTGTGCGTCATATCACAAAAGATGTGATAAATGGAATGATAATGTAAGGTTTAGTAAGTAGGCGACCACAGAGGAGTTCAACCGAATCAATAAACACTAAACTAGTACAGGCATAAAAGGATTACTGATGGAAAGTTAACTACAAGCCTCCAAATAGCAAAAAAAAAAAAAAAAAAAATTCATAAAAGTGCAAAAATTTAAATATGATTGACATTAAAAGACTCTCCAAGATTCGACCATCTCATTTTCCATCTACCTGCATCCATTGAATTGAATATATTAAACATATCTATGCAAAAGTGTACACTGGATTAAATTCATTGTAGTCAGCAGCAGATGATAATCTCCTACTACTGGTATGTCTGTAATAATGTCAGTGGTAGAAAGAGAACTACATTTCTTATTAAATGACTAAACTGAAGAACTAAAATATTTATTAAATAATCATTGTAGTACCAAAATGGAAAAAAGACTACATGTTCCAACTTAAATAAAAGTAAAGGAGCATTTTGTACCTGAGCACAAAAAGTTAAAGTACTAAATAAGCTGGATGCACTAATGTGCAAGAGGTATTTTAATGTTGTATGTGGTTTAATTACAGCTATCGGATAAATATAGCGGAGTAAAAAGTGCAATATCTCTATGTTATGGAGTAAAAATATAAATTAAGCTAGGCTAAATTAAGTTGCAGTGCCCCAAATTTAAATATATTCTGTTACATTACACTTCTGAAAGTTTAACTAGATTTCTGTCTTACTGTAGGTGTATTTCTAAGAAGGCAACATTCATAAAAGTCAGTCATAAAACTAATATCTGATATCTGGCTTTGCTGGTAAACCCAAAAATTTCATCTGTTTTATATAAGTACTTAATGCTTTATCTGTACATTGAATTAGATGACCCCAAACTAGCTGCGAGTTCCTCCAACCAACTGAACCAACAAGATTTTAAGAGAAAATTATATTTAAGTTATGAATTTTCCGGATTAACTGGTCAGCAATCAGTTATAGCTTACAAAATCCATCCACTTCAGTGCTAGTGTGTAACTTATTTACAGAAAGAAAGAAAGACGATTAGTTTGCGACTTCTCATTCACTGACTACAATGGAAGTGACCTTATGAACACTCTGTGACTCTGCTGCTCTCTCAGGTTAGACGCTTCTTCCCCTGTTGATGACGTTACCTCCTGGAGGAGCGATGTGGATCGAGTCCAGGATGGGCCGCAGTATCTGGCCGAACGGTCTGGAGAAGGAGGGAGGGGATTTGGTTTGATATTTTAATCATCAAACCAATCATAACACAAAGATTGCACATTGTTTCAGGCCTAAACCAAACATTCAAATGTCACAGCATATTAACAGACTGTATCTGATTTTTGTTTTCCAGTGGGGTTAACAGAGTGTTTGTACAAGCAGTCTTTCCACTTAAGATATGTGCTTGAGTTGCTTCTACTGAGTCAGTTCTATAGCTGTTCTTTCCACACCATGCCAAAAGAAAAATCTTAGAAAACCACCACATTTAAAGGTGATATCGACAAACCATACTCCACTCTGTCCACTACTACAATGCACTGATGCATCTATATAGAAATGTCTTCATTGTGCAGCGAACCTTTTAAGATTTGTGCACATATTCTAGCAAATACCATATAAATTATGTGCTTTGTCATTATTACAGCAGCAATTACTGCTGCCTGTTTTCTCTTAAATGCAGCAAAGTCACACTGAATTTGTGGTAGAACTTGTGATGAGTACAAAGAGATCAGTGTGTGCTATAGGACACAGACGTGGTCTTTGAAACAGACTTGACTGAAGTCATAGGCAGCTGACAGACTCAGTTTCACACTCACGTTGAGAGCACTTCAGAGGGAAGGTCGGTGATGTAAGAGGGGATGGACCTGCCCGTCAGGAACTGAGCCACCTCGTTGGTGAAAGTGTTGCAGTTGTGCTCAAACAGACGATACCGGTCACCTCTGAGAGAACAGAAGAGAGTGAGATAACAGCTTTCAGTAACAAGTATATAACCCTAACAATTGGATAGATTACTACTGATTTTAACATGTGTGTCTGCTTTGGGATGTTATATTCAATATATAAACAATGAAGGAAGGAGGAGCGGAGAAGAGATGTATAACATTTACTCAACCTGTATGTACTTTCTCCCAGGGAAGAGAGGTAATCCATAAAGATCTCCTCAGACACTTCAGTCTCTCCCAGCTCTACCACTGTGTCTGGAGGACCCAGCATCGTCCCACCCTGACAGACAAAATGTGCACATTATATGAGGGAGTAATCAAATCACTGATGTTTTATTGCCCCGATTGCTGTCTGTGAAGAGGTGAGAAGGAGTGAGAAGAGTGATGATGAACTGAACTTGATTCTCAAAGGTAGATTTGTATCATTTTTTATTTCAACACACCTGTGATCGTGCATATTTGCCGCACGGCTGGAATGGTATTTGACAGCAGAAACATGTTCAGCTATCTCCAACATCAAACAGCAGGTTTTATCAGTCCCTCGGGATTACAGCAAGGGTGTCTTTCTAGAGCTGCCGCTTTGCACAATCATGTAAAGACATGAATCTCCAAGAGGCTAATTAACCAGATTCAGACTTTTTTCATCATTACCATAAACAGTGACTGTGAAAGGCTGAGGCCGGCAATATTCTCTGTTTTGAGATATACTTTCCAAAACCAATCATTTGCATTTTTCCTACTAACAAGTATTGTCTGTGTAGCCAAAGCCTGATATATCTTATTCCTCTTGGCCGTAGCGCTCCATTAAAACACAACAACGAGCCACATTGTGGCACTGTGTAAAAAGTTCATTCCTTGTGCAGTTTATTTTGAGTCAACCCCACAGACACATGGTCCTGCTGCTATAAATACCCACTGACACACAAAATGTGTATTAATCCATGGCTAGAAAAAAAACACAGTTTACTCTTGTTTGAGTAACATTTGATAAAGACTACCGTGCCCAGCTGGTTAGGAAGTGATTTCGCTATTTTTAAGCTGTTTTAAAATGAAACTACTGGATATATGTGTGACACAGGCAGCAAAGGAAGTCATAAAAGTTGTTTTTGGTCTTTTGATGGGGTCTGTAGACAACAAGAAAAAAAAAAGAGTTATACCAGCCTCATCCTTTAAAAAGTACTCTGGGAAATGCAGAAAATCACAAACTGAAGTTGAGGTAATTTCGGCAGATTTAAAACATCATCACAACATAGCACCTGAGAGGATGTAAGAGCAGGTGGATGACTAATTCTGTGATTTGCTGAGAGGCCTTATAGTAATTAGCACCAACTCAAAGCAATGAACTTAGAAACCTGAGATTATGTTTTACACATTATGACATTTTAATAAGGCTTTTATAAACACAGAAGCCCACATTCATATATAGAGGTTTGGTTTAAGCAATACTGTGCAGAGCTGGGACACATAATCTCAGTCACAGGAATCAAACCAAGACCCGTTTGGGTTTTGGGTCTTTTTTCTCTCTCTGTGTTGTAACTCTTCTTTTTGCGGACATATCCTTCATGAGCCTGTTTGATGAGACAGCTAGGAGTCAGTCGTCTTGTTACAGACTTACCGGTGAACAGCTGGAGATCCCCTCCCCTCCGAAGAAGAACTCATCACCATATGCCACTATAGCCGTGTGCCTGAAAGAAAAACACAAAATTAACACAGGGGTAAATTCAGGTCAGAACAAATCAACATTACCCTGGTTTATTTAAAACTGTCACACAGTCCCTCACAGCCAAATAAGAAGCAACAAACCAGAACCCGATTATTACAGTAATGACAGTTTAATAAATACACTTAAATGGACAAATCCACTGTCCTACAACCCTCACCCAATTATGCTTCACTTTATGAGTTCTTATTTTTTTCTGAAATTATTTGAGGCAAAATTCAAAACAAAACAAATGAACAAACAACAAATAGAGGACAGAATTAGACATACAGCCAGTAGCTATTTTTAGCATTGTTCTGTGTTTTAGAGGGGGTATTTAATGTTATCTGCTCTGGGGCCAGAAATGGGTCACTGTCCTACACCTGCTGGATCCACACCATTATATACACTGTCAATGATCCACATATTACATGAAAAGCAATGTATTCATGACTCAGGATGTGATTTTAAGGTCCCAGAAAAACCAGCTGTCAAAATAGCAAAAAAGAAGATTCATACCATATACCGTCCAGTTGCTTTCCTGTAACAGAAAGGGGGAGAAAGTAGTGAGAGGAAGAAGGTAGCAGAAGATCTTCTGTGCAAGCAGCTCCTTGGAGCTGTAACTTACAAGTGAAGCAGTTTGATGTCAACCCCCAATAACGACCTTTGAACCATTCCTTAGGATGTGGGGACATAAATCAGTCACGCTTTACAGTTTATCAGCAAAATAAATGAATACAAAATAAGTAGGCCATGATGGCTTGATCATAAATCAGTACGGTGGACGGCGGCGACTGCATAAAGCGACTTTACGGTGTAAGCTAGAGAAGGCATCTCCACCCGGTATTTGTTATTATCACTTATTTGTCCCCAAGGCCAGGTTACATCGGATGTCTTCATCTGTACTTACCTAACATGATAGGACTGAGGCTGCGGGCCATCCCTCTCGATAGGTCATAAATATATAGTTGTACATTGTATCGCGTAGGATTCTTTTCCATAATGTAAACCACAAAATAGGCTTTTATTTCTCTGTTGAGTCGCTAAGCTAGGCACATTAATTGGCACAGCTGACTGGGCGGTTCAATGAATGATGTCATCACGTCTAAAAATACGAAAACACTTCCGCTTTCACTGCTTTCAAAATAAAATATTTTTGCCGAAACATGCATATAAAATATTGGAAGCTTTAGTTAGAGATAGCTTTATTTTGAAAAAGAATGTGTATCTTTTCCGGTAATACCCGCTATCTCTAAATGACTTGACACAATTTAATTAAAATAATCGACTGCAGTTTTTTGTTGCAAATGTGCCGCCACGATCAAAGGGAATTTCACGGAGAAATTAAAAACTCAGTGTCCCATCAGATAACACAATCCTGAGACTTTAATCTCCTCAATATTGTGCCCCACACTTCAGTCCAGTAGGAGAAGGTGAAAAAGACGTTTTTGTAGAATAAAAGTCATATTGTACAAACCTGTTACTTTTAAACAGAGATTGTCGGTTCAGTGTTCAGATATTGTGGCATTCATGGATGTGCTGTAATCCCTGATGCCCACTAGAAGGCGCTGACAGATTATTATTTCTCTGGTCCACCTTCCGAAGCAGAAGGTGGCAGTAATGCACCTGGAAACCTGGTTTGCCAGCCGCCATTAAAACCTAAAGAAGAGGAAGAAGAAGACGTCCACCAGGCGCAACCCTCTGCTGCTGAACCAAAATAGACAGTTCAGGGTTGAGCAGCTGACATCAACCAGAAATGGCTGCCACCGGAGTCCTTCCCTTCATAAGGGGGGTAGACCTCAGTGGAAACGACTTTAAAGTAAGGATTCTTAGCAATATTTGTTCATTTTCTATCCACCGCTAAGCGACTAACACGTTTAGCTGGCTAGCTGAAGCTAATCCAAGTTCAGAGACCCAGAGGAACAAACGGCGAGAGGCTGAGCTCGCTAGTTACTAGCTTAGCTTAACGTTTGCGGCGTTGGGCGTTAGCCAGTTGTCAGATGTTGGACTTGGACAAAGTGGCAGTCAGGTCTCGGCCGCAGGCGTCCTGGCTGGCGGTCAACATATTTCCGTGTAGGGCAATAGGATGGTGAAGGGTACTTATTTACTTTGTAAAATGTTTGAATATTCAAGGATAGTTTGGGATTTCGTAGCTCTTGTTTCCAACGTCACGTTAGCTAGTTGATTTAGCTTCACTGTTGGCTAACTGGCTGTCTGGGTCAGAAGCTCAAGCCCTGTTTCAGAACATGTCGGCATTAAGAGCATTTAAATGAGATAATACTACGACCAAAAGCAGCAACTTTAGCTCACTCGTTAACGTTGTAGAGTCTGTTGAATGGCAGCAGCCACCCTGAGTCGTCAAAACGTTACTTTTAGGATTTGACATACTTTGTGAGCTTAGTTTGGGAGGCAGGAAAAGCAGCCCGGCTGGCAGCAGTGACAGCTGGGATAATCTGGCATATATTTGAATGAACTGGATCATTTGTGCACTTATCGCTAGCTGCCATGTGGCCCAGGAAAGTAGAACAAATAAAGTAGCTGGAAATAACTTGTGTGTGTACTCGTCGGTGAATGGCTCATGATTCAAATCTAATTTTAGCCAGCATAGGATGAGATCATTTCCTCTAACCAATTGTGCCCTGGATTTTAACGACCGTATGCAGCACTTTCAGGGACGTTTATTATTCTGACTGTAAAAGATAACATAGATTGAACTTCACAGCTGGCCAGATGTCTGCTGCGTACTTGAGAAGCTGATATGTGACTGACTGATTTGACCTGTCACACCCACCCATAATAACAGTTATGAAGTCCTAACGCATACATTAAGTTTACTGTTCTTATACTAATGTATTCACAAGGTTAAAACGCAGTATTTGATACATTTGGTAATGATGTGGAAATTATGTTTCAGAAAAAAAGGGTCTACAGGTCAGAGAGTCTTTTTACTTTAGTTGCTGGTCTTGTATTAAATGGTTGCTGCCAGATCAAACACTGCTTCTTTGATTTCACTATTTCAGGTTCTAATGATTATGGTAACTAAATGTATGCAAGAAGTCCTTCTCTCTCCTCAACTTCTTTGTCTCCCACCTATCTCATCCATCTCTCTACACAGGGTGGGTACTTCCCAGAGCATGTCAAGTGTATGAGCAGTCTGCGATGGCTGAAACTGAACAGGACAGGACTGTGTTACCTCCCAGAGGAGCTGGCCTCTCTGCAGAAGCTGGTGAGACATTCAGGGCAACTTACTAGTTATTATCTCGTCCTCACGTCTTATTTTTTTACCACTACCACAATGGTAGTGGTGTTCTTGTCTTAGTTGTCAGTAAAAGTGAGAGTAACAGTTGTAGGTTAATATTATTAGTCATAGGTTAGTAATTTCATTATGCTTGTGTCTTTTTATTAATCCAGTTTGGTGTGCCATGTATTACTGCGTTGTTGGTAGCAGTGTTGTCTCTGATGAGTCAAAGCATTTCTTTTTTAAAACTTCATGTGTGGGTAACAGAGGACATCATGTCAGCAGATTGGTGCACTTTACCAATGTAACCTCACCTGATTAAGAACACACACCGTCCTATTTTAATCCTCAATATCTCTGATAGGATTATTTTATCTAAACCTCCAAAGCTGCAATCAGCAGGCCACAGTGAAAAGATGATCTATGCTAACATGCTCGATCTTAACATCTTACCGGGTGTAGGTAAATAAGATTAGTCTGTTATCATGGCTCGGAGTCTCTGTGTCTGGGGTGTGTTTAACTGAAATCTGTTTTGATTTTATCCTGTTTGCAGTTAGATCATTCTATTTAGAGACAACAGGGCATTAGTGCAGGCAGTACATTTCACAGGAGTGACCTATTTATAGGATTTTAGCTGACTGTGTTTTGTTTGTGCAGTGCACTGTGTATCTTTAATCACAGTTTACTGTTTTTTTCTTCTTTTAGGAGCATCTTTCAGTGAGTCACAACAGCCTGACCACCTTACATGGAGAACTGTCCAGCTTACCGAACTTACGGGTAACTGACACCCACACGTGCACAAGAACATGCAGATATCTTTGTAAAGTGTATATATATACTTTAAAGCCATAAGCAACGACAATGCAACATTGTTTGTTATTACTGTTGATTTCAGTCTAATGCTTTGACAAGTTCACATTGTTATGATCTGTTTCTACTTGTACCAATGTGTCGTTCTTATAGTGTCCTGAATGTGTTTTACTATGTGTGCAGGCAGTGGTAGCCAGAGCCAACAACCTGAAAAACTCTGGAGTCCCAGATGACATCTTTCAGCTAGATGACCTCTCTGTGCTGGTAAATAATAATCTTATACAATCTCTTTCTCTCCATATCACACACTTGAAGACTTTTTTTTTTTTAACAGTCTACCCACATTTTTTCCAACAACATGCTTCCTTTCCTTTTTTTTCTGGTCCACTGTTTTAACTTCACACATGTCCCCTTTTCTCTTTTTCAGTTGTTTTTGAAACCATCCCAAAAACAGCCTTGGCTTACAGACAGTATTTACAACAAAGACCGTATCATGATTCTCCCCTTTTTTCCCTTCTTGTCCTTTCAGGACCTGAGCTACAATCAGCTGACAGAGATCCCCAGGGACCTGGAGAACAGCAGGAACATGCTGGTGCTGAATCTGAGCCACAACAGTATCGACTCGATCCCTAACCAGCTGTTCATCAACCTGACAGACCTGCTGTATCTGGACCTGAGCGACAACAAGCTGGACAGCCTGCCACCCCAGATGAGACGCCTAGTTCACCTGCAGACACTCACACTGAACAACAATCCATTGATGCATGCTCAATTGCGGTAAGAAGATATGATTTTTACTTTACCTAAACGCCCAGACATTCCTAGGTCTCATGTAAGTCCTTAAAATAGGTAGGAAAATGTATTTATTTGTTGTAATGCTGCTCTGACTGTTGTTATCTCTGTGTGTCTGAGCAGCCAGCTGCCAGCCATGGTGGCATTACAGACTCTCCACCTGAGGAACACCCAGAGGACCCAGAGCAACATGCCCACCAGCCTGGAGGGACTTACACATTTAGCAGGTAACACACACACACACACCCACACAGACACTCAGAGACCACCTATTCAGGGACCTGACACATTTCTTTCTTACTTTTACCTCTAGGCACTTGGACCTGTGGTACCTTTTTTCATAAATGTGTCACTTTGTCTATTTTTCCTAACTCTCTGTCTGGGGAAACATGCTTTTTACAAACACATTCCCTCCTGTCCCTCCCGTCTCTCCCAGATGTTGACCTGTCATGCAACGACCTGACTCGGGTACCAGAGTGCCTCTATTCACTGGGCAGTTTGAAGAGACTCAACCTAAGCAGTAATCAGATCTCAGAACTGTCCCTCTGCATCGACCAGTGGACTCAGCTGGAGACACTTAACCTGAGCCGCAACCAGCTCACCTCACTGCCTGTGAGAACAACAATAATAATAACATGGTGTTGTTGTGAAAGTTGTGTGGCTGGAGTTGTTGGGCTAATAAGACCAACACGACCTGTATGGCTGAATACAGAGAAATATTATATATATATTTTTAAATGTATTAATCTGATTTAGTTTACTTTCAAATACTTATTTTGATGCATTTCCCTGTGTAATTAAAATAAAATAAACCAACTATAACTAAAATATATAACAAAAACATGTCTAACGTTTAATGTTTGCTTGTGTGTCTCCGTCCAGTCTGCAATCTGTAAGCTGTCCAAACTGAAGAAGCTGTACGTAAACTCTAACAAACTGGACTTTGACGGGGTCCCACCAGGAGTTGGCAAACTGTCCAGCCTCACTGAGTTCATGGCTGCCAACAACAACTTGGAACTTATCCCAGAGGGACTCTGCAGGTAACACACAGGGCGAGGGTGCTGTGATTGATGAGCCACCAGCCTTTAAATGTATTGGCATTTTATCAGCACACACAAATGTGGTTATGTGAATTTGTGGTTTTGTGTTCTTTTCCAGGTGTGGGAAGCTGAAGAAGCTGGTGCTGAATAAAAACCGCCTGGTAACACTGCCTGAGGCCATCCACTTCTTGACTGATTTAGAGGTACAATGCTCACCACACT